CTGATTTCGGAAATCGTTATCAATTTCAGCGGCGACCCGACGTCAATCAACTTCCCGACCGTTATTTACTGCGGTGGCGGTTGGTCGGTCGGTGATTGTCGGTGATTACGCCACGACTTCAATGATGGTGTTCCATTTTACGCGTCAGCAAATGGAGAGTCGTCGACTTCTAGGAAAACGCAGTACAACAGACGAGAACGCCGCATTTCGTTCGAAGCTGCTAGAGATTTCCAAAATTTACGAGTCACTGGACGGACTGTCCATTTTGCACTCAGAGCGGAGTTATCTGCTTTTAATCGTTCATATGCCAACCACCTCCTATTTTGTACGGTAAACATTGTTCTTGAGAACTTAATGATTTCGATTCGACTAAGTCCTCACAACATTTGCAAGTATCCTAAAAATCTAAACGACTCAGGCACACGCGTTTTTCGTGGGCTTCATGAAACAGTTTAGTGCTAAAAGCCATGAAAATTTAGAGGGGATTCGATCACTGTTATTAGAAACCAGACTGTGGAGATATCGCATGGTGCGATTGAGGAACTTTTTATCCCATTTCTCAACTTAGTTTGCCAATTAGATGTCGTAATTCACTGTGGAAATGTTTATGATAAATGCTCATTTGTAAACAATAAGTATTGATAGGTTCAATGCGCAGTTAGCGAACTGGAGGCCAACCATGAGAGTTAAACCGATTTCCAAGATTATTCTACATTTAACTTCTTAAGCGTAAATTGAACTAGTGAGTGTACAGTTGCTATGGACAAGAAAGTAAAACCCACTTATTATTCATTTAATACCGCTGGGAAGTTTCAGAAGTAGATAGATACTGAAGAACTTTGAATCACAGATGCAGTAGACTCACTTCACATAACCTTCGTTTAGGAACGCATGTGGCACAGTGGCTGGAGGTGCCCTGCAACATGGACGTGGAATCGATTTCCGTGCCCATGGCTCACCAAGCCTTCCATCCCTCCGGGGTCAGCAAATTGGTACCTTGTCTGGGAAGATAGCAGCACTGGCTCGATACATCGGTAGGCCTCCCCGAGTCATTGTAAAGGTCAGATATGCATCTAATCACCACCAAACGATTCTTAAAAGGATGAAAGCTCTCGGCGTTGATCAATCCTTGCGGGATGCATCATGCATTCGACTTCATTAAATTATTACGATCAATATTAGTATTAATATTGATATTAACGATTCTTAATGAAGTCGAATGCATAGCGCATCCTTAAGGGATTGATTAACGTCGAGAGCTTTATCCTTTATCCTTTAACCTTTAACCTTCATCTAACATCACTACAGGAAGGAAGGAATTCTTTCCTGTCAACCCTAGCAATTCTTTCCATGAATTCCCTCTCCATTCCAACACGACCCTATTCGCGGATTCTCGCATGTGTTGCATTCTACAAAAAAATTCCATGTGGACAACCGTGGATGATGAATGAGGATCGGTGTTGTGAGTCTCACCCGGTCCGCTTGCAGCTCATATGAACGGCCGATCCACAGAAAGGGATCTCGGCTCGTATTGCTAATCGTCCGTGCACATCCGTTCATTGTCGTTTCAATAGCGCGCAGGTGAAACCGGGTGCGCTCCAGGAAGCCTCGGCCCTCATCTCTTCATCCCTCACCCGTGCACCCTCTCGAAAACCAGTTCCACGTGGCTACACATCCTCAGTAGCCGCGTGCGGGTCAAATACCACTCTGCCCGGACATACCAGTCACCCGGAGCGAACCGGAGATGTGCTCGAGTGTGGTGGGACAGAAGCGAAAACACGACTCGTAGCCCTTTCACTGGGCAAGAATTCGTCTGAACACGGCAATCTAACTCTGTTATAAACAAACAGGTCATTTAACAGTGATACAAAGGTTATTGGAAATTTGAAGCACTGCAATAGGATAAAGGTCTTACAGGTGAACAACAGTGAAAGTCAAAAAACACACGGAAGCAATCTTAAGAAAAATTACGAAGACATCGTTGCCAGTGGCACTCGTTTGATTAGAATTCCTGGATGGGTGAAAGGTTGTGAAGACAAATTAAAATAACCTCATTGCGTATGAGTCATCAACAACCTGAAGTAACAACGGAGCTAAAATCCTCCTGAATGTCTAGAGGCTCATGGCTTCTAATTCATAGGGCAACGAAACATCACAAAGCAAGAATTATCACAGCGAATCACTTCCAAGCATATACCCGCATGAAATGCTGATGGTGATGACATTGACATGAAGGTTGTAATCGTAATACACATGCAAGTCATAGGAGTAGATCGTTGGATTTCACGGAAATCCAAGAAGAATACTTAGTCGGTCCCAGACTGACCACGCAACTACTAATTTCAACAGTAACCAAGTAATGAAGGAGAGGTGAAAAAAAAGAACTTCGCATGAAAGAAATAACAGTAAAAGAGAGGATAGTAAGGAATACAGAGTACAATAGAGCAGATCCCCCACTTACAAAGCAACCCTTGGGTCAGAGTGTGAGACCACCAAGCAGTGGTAATATAGTGAGAGATTTGAGAAACAAAGGAATGAATGGCTTTCAACATCACAACACCATTGTTTTCTAAAAGAGGGTGGGCGACGCTGAACGCCTGTTGCCTTCGACAGCTTCTTAAATCTCCGCATTGAGGAATATCGGGCAATCTTCTTTACTTTTCCATTACTGCAGTTTTCCTGTCTGCTTTCATTCTTACATCTTCGTGAACATTATGTGCTTTCTATGTTGTGTTAAAGGACTATTGCAGTTTGAAAATATGAAGCCCTTGGATGACGACACGTACTGAATTTCGAAAGCACTTCGTTGAAAAATTAGGCTCTTGGGAGTACATTAATGGAACATTTTGCCTTCCGGAAATTTTTAGTACATAGGTATCTCAGTGCGTTATAATTATGGCTTCCGAAGTTTTCGTACATTCGTGAAGGACATCGAGAGTGATGGTTTTTGATTTGCTCATTCTAGGTAAACACGGCTATTGAACGAGATCGTGCGGAAGAGGAACATCCAGTGTTTGATTTCCAAGACACCTCATCGCCCTTGAACGAGTCGCCTACTCCTTGACTTTATTCGGGCCACAGGTGCAATGTGGATCAGAGACATGATTCTTCGTGTGTATCAGAAAGATCTCTAGCCCAGTTATTCTGACCACTTAGAGGAGAGAAAACACGTATAAAATTTTCCATAACATAAAATGAACCAACGCAGTTAGCAATCAGACTGTCTAGCAGATTCGTAGATTCTAAAAGGTTGTAGAAGTGCAAAAGCTGGATTCAAGGCTAATGTATACTCAGTAGTTCCAACGAATCGCACCAGAGAACCTCCTGGAACGACGAAAAGTAAACACGCGGAGAGAACGGCCGTTGAAGTTGTTGCTGTACGGTCGGTCAGCAGAGGCTATTTTGAGAGGCGATGAGGCGAGGAGAATTCGTGCCGACACGACAACCGACTAGAGAATACAGCTTAAGATTAGATGGGTTCAGCCAAATTTTTGTATTCCTTAGAAAATTCACAACAACGAAAGTGTGCCGCTTAACAGAGTTTCCCTAGTAGCAGTTAACACAGAACTATCACCAGAACAGAAATGGATTACAACGCCGATACTCAAGTTGAAATGGTATATTTTTCTAATTTTCTGGTGATCTTCATATTACTTCCACTTATCTACACCAATCTCTTTAGGATCTCATAGGCATTTGAGGAAGTAACTACCGTAAACTTTGCTTAAAGGGACAAATTCGACTTTTACAAGGCCAAATTTTGTACCATTTTTTCATTATTGATTGCAACAAACGCATTTTATTCTTAAGAACAAAACCAAATGTGGATTCTACTAGGTGTTTGAGACGAGCAAGAAGTGAAACGTATACTTTGAAATCTGGCTTGATCATAAGAAGTAAGGAGTTATAAAAAACAAACAAAACTTTACTTTCTTTCACTCGAGTTTTCAAGTGAGAGATGAGGAAAAACAACGAAAAGAGCATATGAACCAAGAGAATTATGGAAATTGAACTATGAATTATGAACGTCTTCATTACTCACCGTGGAGCCATGGCCAAATGAACGGCGACAGCGAACTGGTGGCGCCGTGGAGGAGGTGACGGCTCGGCGGCGCCGACGACGTTGGCATTGTGGACGACGTCGAGAATCCTCCACATGGGACAGCGTCGACTTGCGCTTCCGTCGAGTCCAAAGGCTGATCGAGTCCGACACCTTCGTACGGAAACTATCGATGTTTCATTTTTTGGATCACTCGGTATTATTGTTAGATATTCCATCGTACTAATAGACGACATTATTTCTCTTTGTCCTCCCATTTCCATTAACCCTTTTCAAAAACGTGTCATATTCCCAGTGTTATTCTGGTGTTTTGCCGCCGTACATGAATTGCTTTAGGTCAAAAACACTAAATGTATTTCTTATTTTTGGTATTCTAGAACTCTATAGCTGAGCTATTTCGCTTAGACCATTTTCAATGCAGATCTCCTCGGGTATGAACAAAGCTATGAAGCTGCAATTTAGAGCTTTAGGCTTGATATTTTTATACCAAGGTGAAGTCATCTATTTATAAATTTTCCAAAAGTTTTTTCGTAATTATCGTAAACTCACTTCATTCTCTCATTACTCGCTCCCATTATGGAACTTTAACGTGTTTATTAAGCAGTAATGAAACGAGTATGGAATAAAAGTTTCAAAACCCAACAATAAGTTAGTAGTGTGACAAAACGAATAAAGACTAACGATTTCAAAAAACTACTGAATTGAGAGAAATGGTATTTTAGAACGAGCTCCAGTAGTTTCGACTAGTTACCGGAATCCGGACTGGCAGTGTCAGTATTGTGGATTTGTGACGTCAATACCCGTTGCCTTTCCATAAGACGTTGTAGCAGATTTATAGAAGAATCAACGGAAGACGTCGTTGGCTGAATAATGAACGATGAGTTCAAAGACCTACAATGCGCTCCCTACTACAGGAAGTAGAGGGCGTGATTATCAGTCATCAATTGGGGTCGATGTCCCCCCGTGGGAACCATAAAAACTTCTCGCTCGACTTCCTGAACTTCCACCACTCTAGCGAAAGCATTCGTCGTGACTTCACCTTGTCGTCGAAGAGATTCGCGGCACTCCACAAAACAGCTGGGGCACTGGTTCGACGCTCATCGGCGTATTTCGGTATGGGCCGCTCGATTTTGAACGAATCCTTCATCTCGATCTTTATGTGGACCTACAAATGATGTCCGTTAACAATAACAGATAATCCGTAAGCGTAACAAATTGTTTAATTCGCAAACGACAATGTAAACCAATTTTTTTTGATAGCGCAAATCATTTATGAAGCCCGAAAGGGACTGCTTTCCGAATCCTCTAAGAGATGGGGAAGAACGAGAGAGGAGTATATTCTCAGAAAAACTACTGAACATCGTTTGACAAAAGTATGAATAATATCTACGGCTTTTTGAAATGATCGAAACAAAAACTCAACCAGTTAAGGAATGATTTCTTATAAGCATAAATCGCTTAGGATACAGTTCTTCTAAAAATATATCTTATTATAAACACATCAATAATAAGAGAATTTATTTATAGAAAAACATGGCAATATTCCTGGTGGGAAACTCGAGATTTAATGAAATAACACGGAAACAAACTGGATTGCCGTCTGAGTGCTAGAATCCCCAAAGCTTACTTAAAAAACTTAAAGGTATTGTCTCGTTAGATGTCTAAACAACAAACTTTTTCTTCTTGGAATAGTGTACTATGGAGGCATGAAACATAGAAAGTGTTCTAAATTTGATGAAATCCAATGGAATTGAAAGGTGGGAGTCCAGGAACTAACTCTCAATCTTGGAGAACGTCAATCAATGCATTTAAACCTGTAGGCTTCTGAGATTTCATGGGAGGAATTTATAATTATCACTCTACGTCGGTGTCAGAACATGTTACGAATGACCGGACATGATAAACCATGGAACGATAACTGGAAATAGATTTTGTATAAGTGAAGAGCCTGTAAATGCCAAAAAGCTGCCGTTGATGAAATTCTTGCAAGAAGACCGAAAATCTAAAACGAAGTATCCACATTTCACATTTCAGATTTGAACGAGGCGGAGCAGAAACGTACCGCCTCGGCGCCACGTATGCTCAGGATGTCAAGGTGGGTTGAGGACGACGCTTCGTGACAGGTCTGCAGTATCTGGGTGGGACGATTCGGCCGGCGGCTCTGGCGCGGCGGCCGGCGACGGCGCCCCCGGGCGGCCCTCGTCGGGGGAGGCCCGCCCTCGCTCGTGACCACCGCTGACCATCGGCGACCGCACGTGCCCTCCCACCGCCCCTGTGGCACCCTGTAGCTGAACGTCACGACATCACGGCAAATAACCGTTGCCCAACTCACGGCTCCTGATATCGCACCATGCACATTCGGTCTATTGGACGAGCTCAACCCTACCGTCAGTGACGTCAGGGGACAAAAGTGAAACGCATGTGATGATGGTAAGGCTAGAACATATACATGCATCGATCAATCAGAAAAGCATTCGCAAATTTTCGCTAATTTTTCTATTACCTTTATGTTATGCCATAGCGACCAGAACCGAGAGAAGGACGTAAGTGTTCCACGAAAGGGAATTTCAACAAGAAGCTCTGTAAAGCTCTCCAACGTAGTGCGCCTTGTCGTGCTTGATTCAGTACGATCAATACCATAATATGGATGGCCCTTGGTCGTCGTTATCGTTTCCTGAACGGAATTCATATTCAACGTCTAAGTGCTGCCATAAATTTAAGGGTTTTGTCGAGGTACTGTTTGAAAATTCCGAGAAAAATTTCCCTGCAGATTTTCTCTTGACACGAGTTTTCCCGTTTTGTTTCCTGTATTCCGTAGATCCTATAGCATTCTTGCAGAGCCCAGCTGTTTTTCCTAAGTCCCATGAGCAGTTTACTTGAACCTTTTTGCACAGTTCGGCGTAATGGTTAAGCAAACAAACAACTAAACCCATAACTGAACACCACAAACGTTTTCTTGTGCTTCATGAAGCACTAGGAAAATGCTTACAACTTCAACGAGCTATATTTTTATAAAAAAGAAACACCCAGTGGAAGTAATTTGGACCGCTGCAGTGTTATTTTCTTCTTGAATATTTCTCAGTTTTTAACTTGGGTTTAAACCTTTGAGCCTACAAAACTTCATATCTTTAGAAATTTCGCAGCTTTCTTCATAAATCGCAGCGATTCTGCGGCCGGTGCCAGACATTCGCGCCACACATTCGGTGGCTTATCAAGTAGGAAAAGGCAAAGCGCGTCAAACAGCACTAAATTGTAGTGATAGGTTATAAAATAGTAAGTAATCAAGACTAGTGAAAACAGTGCTCTATGAGAAAAAACGGTCACGATTCTCATGGGGATTTGATTTTCTTCTGCTTCAGAGCAATCGACGCTGCACCTATCAAGAACAGCCGACGAGCTGGAAAATGCATGGACGGATTCGACTGAAGATTTATAGTAGAGTGGTCTCTGCTGCAAAAAAAACAACTAGTTCACCAGCTTCTATGAATGCTTACTATCAAATGTGATAATTCAGACTTTAGTTTTAGTTTCCTCAGCACTACGAATTTTTACGCAATCGATTCATATTATTTGTGTGCAGAAGAGATTCCACTGGTAAATAACTTTGAGCGCTCCCTTGTATTAACTTATCTATAGAGTTTTCGTCGGAAAGGATGTCTGACCGTTTTATCACTGGATGGTGCTCATAGTATGGAATCGGAAAATGCACGAAAGCTCTCTCATTGTCATTTATCCTCGAGAAGAAAAAAAAGCTTACCGCTTTAAATCCTTATGGTGTAAAGTAGTATGGAAGGAAATTAATCCTTCTTGTAATCATTATTTGTAAAACTTTTTTTACCTCATAGTGGAACAGACCGAGACAAAAATGAAAAGTAACAACGAGGCAAGGAGAGGTGGAAAGAGACGGAGAAGAGTAGAAGGAAAGAAAGAGGGAGAAAGAGATAAGCTAACGAGGCCAACATATCATATAAAAAGTGCTGCTTACCCTATGCAGTGAGAAAACTCAATGGATTCTAAAATGAATCCTAATGTTCGTAAAGAAATGAAAGACGGTGGTCTAAAAGCATTTCCTGAAAGAGTTCGAAACTCAGTAATCTACGAACAGCGTTCCAGTTCAGAGCGAGAAATCTTCATTGTATTCATCGCAAAATTACATCACATCTCGAGTAACATGTCATTCTTTCTTTCCAAAGTTTTCAAATAGAAGTTCTTTGTTAGAGAAAAACACAGTGTTATACAGCGCAGTGGTATGTATATAGCAGGCGACAGAAGGATCGACTACTTGTTCGGACATTTACTAAGCCATGCCGATATGCCAATGAAAGGATAGTCCAGTACGACATCTGTTGCATGTACTTTTATCCGCCTTCAAGTTCTAAGAAGGTTCCTTGATATTAGTCCACCATTTTATTACTTATTGGAAAGGTAATTTAATGAGCAGCAAATCTATCACGTATATTATCCAATTTTAGTGAAGAAAGAACAATAATACCTGAAAATTAACAAAAATCTGAGATGGGAACCCAGAATTTCTACATAGTACCAATAATAAATTATCATTAATCACAACAGGAGACATTTCCAGTTCTTGTTATTTGGGTCTCGAAAGTTGACTTTGAAATAAGGTATTTGCTTTGATGCTTGAAACACTGGAAAATCGAAGAAGTATAGCAGCTTAGTAATTTTGATAGAGTCATACCTGAAAGATTAGTAACACTCGTGGATGTATCAAAATCGAATTGGAGTCAAAGACTGTACTTGGCGTCCAGGTAACTACAGTCAAAGCAATCACTCACTCATCATCATGTAGCGATGAACAGCTTCGAAGTTCAAAGAACTTATGAGAACATAGGAGGACATCTGATGATGCCATTGGTTGTGATGAGTTTTTATGAAATAGCGAAAACTACCACGTCTTTCCAAATGTTTCACCTTTTACTCAAAGCAGAAATCTGCCCAAAATAAAGCAAAGGCTATCTATTAACGATAGGGAAGTGTCTTTCCTACACAGCTAGATTTCTAAACGTCTACATTTCACTTAGGATGATGAAATGGGCAAGAAAACTATTTTTAGAAATGTTTAATAGTCACTTAGCATCCGAGATGTCATACAATATAGTTTCGTTTTATTAAGGAAAATATTATTGAATGGTTTCGATTTGCAAACGCTGCATCAGTTTAGGATGAACCAGATTTCTTCGTTCCTTGTCGCGATAATTGTTGAAGAAGGCAAAAACACGGAACTGAGCGAAGTCTCGAACCAGGAACTGGGAACTCGACACGTTACTGAGACTCTCTGAAATCGTCCTAAATCGCCAGCAGATACGCTTAGCTCTTCTCTCATCCGACAGAGCACCACAGTCAGGAAGAAGGAAAAGGAGGGAACATCTAGCAAAAATATTTGGAGGATTCGTGAGTAAAAGGTGCATCCTCTTCAGATTATTTTTAGGAGTCTCATAACAACCTACTAGACCATAATGCTTAGGTTTTTATTCGCTCCCTATTATTTTTTAATGCAGGGAAACCATGCGGAATGCAACCACAAGGATGCTAAGATATTTGCAAAACTCGGACCTCAGGTTAACTTTAAACATGCGACTACCCTTTCCAAGGCTCACGTATTCCCCACTGCACCATTAAAGCGCTTGCTTTGCCTTTTTCTCCGCTGGCTTTTACCCTAATGATACTATCAGCAATCATCCATCAATGGGAGTGATCTGGGAAAGACTAGTCAACATTGTACCTAGTTAAGCTGAAGCTGCAGTAGAAACGTGATATATCCATTCGTTTTTTGATATTTTTACTAGAAGTGGAATTAAACCAATGTTCAGTAGTCAAATCACAACAATAATGAGAAGAAGAGAACAAAAGGAAAAATCCCCGAGACTGGCCCTGCAAATAGCTATTTCCACTGGCTTAGAAACGGTAGATCCTCGGGATCGGTTCAGAGGAAGGACGATGCCCGTCAAATGATATTTTTAGAGAGAACAGGTCCGGTTTATCCTGGTTTTCATTTTAAACGAGATAAGTTCAGCTACAAAACGTTGATTAAGAAGAGCCAGTAACAGCGATTGAAATACTACTCATCACTCTCGGAGCCCAGCTAGCTCGTACCGCTTATATGACTTTCTATGGGCAGCGGAAAAT